GCTCTGGTAATTGGTCTTTGTGATTTAAAGTGTCCTTTCTATATTCTTACCATAAAGAGCTTTAGAAATATGATTAGGAATGAATAGGTCCATTTTTATAATTTTCAATCTAGGAATATTAGGAAGATAGCCAATTTAAAAGAGGTAAAATGTACGGCTTTGGAAAGAATCCAGGCAGAATGAATCACTCCCTAATTATTGAAATTTGAAGTGTAGATTATAAATGTATTTGTGCTGCCTGAATCTTAATTGGGCATTTTTATCGTTTTAGGGGCCAAAAGACCCCCCAGGCAATTAAAACCAAAGGAATTGATTTGGCAGTGATCAAAATATTTGCTTGGATTTGGCTAGATGTTAATCACAAAGTTTGTTGGTTCTGGAAATGACACTCATGAATTTCACATACTCATTTCAAATAATAACAAAGTCACATTCTATTTTTTTTTAATTTGAAGCATAGAAGCAAGACTTTTAGATACATATCTGTGATTATGGTTCTTGATCAGCCTGAAAATGTTTAAATTAGATCTATGTGGCTTTGTTCATAACCTTTTCCCAACAGTGCTGAATATCCTCTTGCTTGTTTATGGAAGAAAGAAAACATTATGCCCATCAAAAATAAATACCCTGATAAAGATACTTTAAAGTTAGGAGTAGTAAAAGAACACAGAGCAAGCTTGAAACAAGCACTTAATTGGATATTTTGCTGCTGAAACTTTCCAAAAATGTAGATGAACAAAATATCTAAACTTTGACAGCCAGTTACACTGATATGGTCTCGTTTGTGTTACTTAGTAGGAATTGTTGATGGAGATACCATGTAGATATCTTATCATGGTTGTTCCAAAAAGATGGTCCTGATTTAGAACTACTATATATCTGCAACCATGAGCCACCCATGAATGAAACTCTTATCACTTGAAATGGTGAGGCATAGAGTTTCAAAATGTTACTGCTAAATGTTTCTCTCAATACACAAACAGCTCAGTCAGTTGCAAGATAGAGCCCCACAACATAGGACATTTTATGTTCTCCATTGGAGGGCATATAGAACATTATGAAAAGATTATTAAAATAACTTGAAAACTCATTAAACTATTTGTAACTTTTGTGCAGTTGTAACATGCTGCTATTATGGAATATACTGCTTTGAAATTGGGTCCATCAGTTTTAAATATGCTGTATATCGTATCACAATCTTTAGGTAATTGATATTTATTGAACATGAGTCACTGTGCTCTTGACATGCAAATGTCTACATTTGTCCTGTGTTTAATCACATTGGATTCTCATTGAAGTTTATAGAATTACACTGTACACTTTTGGTAATGTTTACTTGGAATCATTTTTCATTCATATTTTCAAACTTCAACATGAGAAACAGTGAGCCGCTGCCATCTTTGTATGATGTCTTCCTCATGGACTGGAAGTTGTTTTTTTTCTCATTTCCTCTTAACAGCAGAATTGTGTTCTAGAGCAGTGGTTTTCAATCTGTGAGTCCCCAGATGTTTGGCCTTCAACTCCCAGAAATCCTAACAGCTGGTAAATTGGCTGGCATTTCTGGGGACCCACAGGCTGAGAACCACTGTTCTAGAGCTTCTCTGGTTGATATTTATGGCTCAGCAATAGAATTCATTTGCAGGGAGGTATATAGGTTCAGTTCTTCAAACAAATACCTTATTTTTCTTGATAGCCAGCCATGCATTACTGAACATTTTATTTGTTTGTTTGTTTATTAAAATCATTAAATATTTATTTAGAAGCATTTTACAATTCTTTAATTCAATACCAGTTTAGGGATCTTTCTATCCCAAAAGTATTTGAATTTAGCAAATACATTTATACTTATTGTAGAGGCAAAGGCAACACAGGGAAATCTTCTCTCTTTTCCTGGATTTGCATCATGAGGTCTGATCTAGGTGCGTCATCTGCCCACCTTCTGGCCCTGCCTCCCATGTTCTGTATAGAGAATGTAAATTCAATCCATTCAGACTCCAGAAGCCATGTGTTGACTGCTTCAGTCCCCATCCTTTGATCATGCCCTTTCTTACTTAACATAATAAGGTTGAGATGGTGCAAAGCCACTTGAGGAGGGATTGCATAGCATGGTACCATCTCTTTTGGTAGTAATGATAGTGAAAATTGCATTCTGGACACACTATGTGCTACTTCTTTTCATGGAGGCAATGAACTGGTAATTGTACTCTTACTCTACACATCAAAATAGCCATGCTTTTGATGACTAAAGCATCTTCAGAAAAGGGTTATTGTCACTGAAATGATTGTTTTGCATAAAACAGTAATAAGTAGAGATTTAGAAATGTGATTGAATCTGTGCAGAATTAGCGCAAAATTATCTTGGACCTATTTTCATTTCAATATTGTCATTACCTGTTGTCAGACTACCCAAGCTACGTTACCTAGAAAGTCCAATTCTTTATTGTGGCAAAGGATTGCTACAGCCCCAAACATTAAATCAGCAATTGCATCAGCTGCATTTTAGTTCCTCTATTTGCAAGAAGTGAATTGAAATCAGTAAACTTGCAGGTTAAAAGCAGTTCTGAAATGATGCAGTAAAATGTGTGAGCATATATCATTTTGATGAGAAATAGTAACTTTAGTTTTTGGAATGTGTAAGATTTCTTACAATCCATTCAGTGTCTCATAAGGATTTTGATATTAAAGTGTTGATATATGTATGTTCATTTGGTTTACTGACCAGTTAAAGCCAGGGAATGAATTTGTTGAAAAAAATCTTAAATTAATGGACTATTTAATATTTAATCAATATCTCCACGATCAAAATACTTTCTCTAGGTTTGGCCCTAACATTTAAGAAAAAAATACATGCAACAATGACTAAAAAGTATAAACTATTATGTTCTACAAAGAATTGCAGGGTTACTTGCATTGCTACAACATGGATCTTGTATACTTAATATTGACAGTTAAATTGGCATCAACCTCTGGAGAAAAAAACCAGAAATATCACTCCAATGCTACTTGATTATAAGATCTCTTAATTCAACCTTACTTTCCCTCTTACGATGAAACAGATATTACAAAATTATTAAACTAATATTATTAGTTTATTATTAAACTAATAATAAACTGATGTGGAAATTAGATTTCTTTTCAATGAATTTTTTTTCTCCCTAACCATTAATTTCTGACCAAATGTACTGATGGCTTCCATGGTCACTAATATAGGGAGAATTGGTAAGACTGACAATTGCAATTGCTTTCTTCTTCCTGCGCATGCCTTATGCAAAAGATTCTTCGAACCCATTCTAACTAGAGCTCTCATGCTTTTTGTTCTTTGCCTTTCTGCTTCCCCCGCATTGCTATAAAAGCATGTAAGATTACAAGAAATCTATTTCATTTTCATGGTATTTTCAGTGCCTTTTGTCTTGAAAAAGCACTGTCATTTTATAAAAATGAAGTCCAAGGTTTCATCAGTACCATAGTAAACTGAAATCTCTGTGTGATGCCTTTCATTTTATGTTCCTTAGTCTTTTCCTTCTACCATTGCCATCTGTTACATATCTATGTTTTTGTAGTTAATGGATTTCCCTCTACAAAGCATTTGAAAATTCATACAAGTCTTGGCAATTTCATCCATATTCTGTAGCCAAAATGGGAAACCTACAGCCATTCGTATGTTTTAGATGTCAGGTCTCGGAATCTGCAACAAGCATAGCTGATGGTAAAGGAGCATGGGAGTTATAGCCCAAAATATATGGAGGGCCAAATGTTCCCCACTATTTCTCTGTGCGTACTGCAGCTGATATGCCATTTAATCTTTCCCAGTAGCCAGTATTTTATCTGATATAATTTCTCATGTGTTGTGCACATATTTAATAATTTAAAACCGTTGGTTGCCATATCTCCAGAGCAGAGGTGGATGTCATGAAACCTATGATCTGAATGCACCCCTTTCCTATATACCCAGAGTTTTCTTAAAAGGAGCATACAAGATCCCAGTAAGTCAGTCTTAGAAACACCCTCTTCATGATAGTTCCAAGTCTTTTTTTCTACTTTCCTAACCTTATATGCATTGTAACCCCATTTTCCCCTCTTTACATCTGTGCCATTCTGTTCCTTCTGGAAATGAAGGACCAACCTAGATACAATATTATTAAACTGCCACTTGCATGGCTGGGAGTTTTCTGAGAAATCAAACAAAAACAAGCCAACCAAACCTGAGACCATAATATACAGGGTAGATGTATTCATCAATATAAGCCATAAGCCATTGTCATCTCCACAGAGAACTCCCATAGTGCCAACTAAATGCAAAACTTCAAACCAATTGGAATAGTAGTGGGATCTAAAACATACTGTGGGCCTGAATCAGTTGCGGGTGTAGGAACCATGCCTGCTCTGTTAATAAAAAAAATACAAAGAATCCAGTAACAAGCTATTTAAGGATTAAAGACTTCAAGAATAGTGTATTTGCTGTACCCCCAATCTGTACTTGATAGATGCCATGCCTTAACCTCAAGTCTGCAATAGAATACAAATGCAATTTTGTGTTTAATTTTCATAATTCCAATCTCTTAATATTTCAGTCTAGAATTAAGGTATGATATATTATAGTAAGAACCCTCCAAAGAGCACTTTTTTTAGCAGTTTACTATGATGATGACTGAACTCTATGTTTTTAACACATACAACTGTGTTGTATCTATACCTGAAAGACTACAAACAGTTATATACAGTACACACAGTTGTATGGTCACGCAAAGTTAGCAGGTTGGCTGTTGAGTTTTTTTGATTAGAGTAAAGTCTTTGTTTGTTTATTTGTTTTTGTTTGTTCAGTGAAAGCTACATTCTGTGTTGTCGTATATAGTTCTGTGTTATAAGAAATAATATTGTTGTATTATTTTTGGTTGCTTGTGCTGCCTAGCATAGCTTTCAGTCAGCTGTGTCTTGTGTTTTCCCCTAATACATTTCAGATGAAAATCATGCTGTGTTCCATGTTTTTCCTCCCTTTACAGGATCTTACTGCCTTAGCAAAAGAACTGAGAGAGCTGCGTATTGAGGAAACCAACCGGCCTTTGAAGAAAGTTACAGATTACTCCTCCTCAAGTGAGGAGTCTGAAAGCAGCGAGGAGGAGGAGGAGGATGGGGAGAGTGAGACGCAGGATGGGACTGTGCCTGTCAGTGACATCCCAAGGCTTATGTAAGATGCATTTTGGTGAAGCTAAATCTGTGATAATTACACTGTACATTTGTAGCAAGGGGTGGAATGACAGGCCTTTGTGTGAAATTTGACTGCCTCTGAAAATAACACCCTCCAATCCCTCTCCATGGTACTAAAATCTCTCATTCCCTACCTTCACATTGTTCCATTGCCGTTTTCTTTACTCCTCTCTACTTCAGTTGCAAAGATAGGATAGGCAATATGCAACGTCCCATTCTGTCCCATATGCAGTCTGTCCCATTTCTGTATCAACCTGAATGTTTTCTTTCTTTAAAAGCCACATGGAAATTTGCTTTGTTTTCATGTACATGTTTTAAAGCATTTCACCGTGCAAACTTTTAAGCACTAAACGATAGACGTTTCACATGTTTTGGTACCTTCTTCCGAGTTGCAATTTTGAAGAGTACAAAAACTGAAGGACAGGCTTATATTAGTCCAGGAAGTGGGCCTCAGCTTAGTTAGCTTTCAATTACAGACAAAATGCTTAAACATCCCTATTTATAGCATGGGGTAAATGGTCCATAACATTACTGGAAAGACCCAGGGATGCTATTAACACATCCATGCTGCAGGTCAGATACATTTAACTGCAATTTCTTTTGTCACTTGGGAAATCACAGTGGATCAGACCAAAGACCCCTCTATTCTAGTATTTATTTATTTGTTTGTTTGTTTCGCGCATTTCTACCCCATCCTTTTCAACCCCCGAGGGGGGACTCAGGGCAGCTTACAAAAGGCACAATTCGATGCCAACACAAACAATAAGATAAAAACATATATCAACAGCAATTCTAAAACAATTAAAACAATCAATTATACACCACAATCCATAAAACCAGTCTAATGCTCAACGTTCACCAGCTCAGTATTCCTTGGGCAATCTGATGTCCAGTCTGGGAAGGTCCATGACCAGGTTATGAGTACAATAGTACCCTCCCACTTGTGTTTTTCAGCAACCTGACATACAGAAGCATTGGTTTCCCCCACTGAAAGGGTTATCAGAGGATAACATAAGGTCAACACAATCAGAGTTCACACAATCATAGGACTTGAAGATTACAAACTGTACACTTGTGCCTCAAGGCAGGCCCCATCATTTACTTTGAGCAATTGCATTGTCTATGAGGTGTTGTTGCTGGGAATGATAGAAAACAAGATTCAACAAGGCAGAATTCTGCACTTCGGAGTTTTGTAGTGAGGGATCTTACTGATCCATATTAGTCAGAGCCATGCAGCAAGAGAATACATTGCTCCATATCCAAAGATTATGGCAAATGACTGTATTACTTTGTTGTTGGAGAAAACCCCTCCTGACCTCAATAATGGCTATAAATCAGGGGGCCCGGATGAACTGGACACCTCTAGATGTCTACATCCCAGCAGAAGGTCACTGTCAAAGGTCCACTGAACTTAATATTGCTTCTCCCTAGCAGTGATGGCAATGGCAGTGTAGAAGAAGAGTCCCATGAATGTTGTCTTGACTAACATATCAACACAAACACTTTGGGCCAGCACTGCAGGACAGCAAATCTGGGTTTGCAGCAGGGAACTGCAAGCAACCTTTTCTCTGTCAATTGTACTTGTGTGGTCCATGTTGGATCCCAAACTTTTTTTTGGTCTTACAGTAAAGGTAAAAGTATTAGGACTATCTTAGCTTCATATATGAAGCAAGCCACTTTGAGTTTCCTTTGTGGAGAGAAAAACTGGGGGTATAAATGAACATTATCATCATCACCTTCATCTCTGACAGCTAAGAACCTCAGTGAAATTTTGGTTACTCCAGCAACCAAGGCCATGACTAGTCTTTCAGCCAACTGTTATAGCTGAGCATGAAATTCACTGTGAAATACCATTTGCATTATCCCACAGTTTACACAATTCCTATTCTGAAAAAAAATGTTTCTTATAGCTGTGTCTCTAGACCATTATTAGAACATTCTCTAATCTATATTTTTATAAACCTTTTTATCTAGGCCAGTCTCTGCCTTTGGGCATCAATGTGCAGCTGCTGCTTAGTTTTGTTAGCCATTCAAATGAATACAGGCAAAGTTTGGACAGATACTTATTTATATTCTGCTTAATGTAGTTAAAATATGTCACAGCGTAGCTTCACTGTTGCACTCTGGATCGTGCGTACTGAAGCTACGTAACTAAAGTCTGTATGTTGTCTTTCCAATTTCATGTTTTTGAATCTTCCTGAAAACTTTTTGTTATCTGAAACAGCCATTAGAAACAAAAATATCTGAGTTTGGCTTATAACCCAGCAGTGTTTGTTTGACACAGGAATTCTACTGAAAACTTTCCCTGCCTATGACCGTTCTACATATTGATATTTTTTGTTATTGTTACCTCTTTTTTTGTACATTGTTTTCTAAAAACAGCATCTCACAGACTGTATTGTCGGGGTTTTTTTTATTCTTGCCACATTTATCTGAACATTCACAGCCTAAGTGAGGAAAGTGTATGCAATCTCTACCATTCATGAAAACCGGAGAAATGTTTTCTGTGGTATCTCTTAGTCCACTGTAATATTGTGGTCCAAATCATAGTGTTGCTATCATATCTACAGCACCCAGTGTCCCTGACTTGTTCCCCTGCTAAAGGCAATATGTTTAATTACTGCCACGTTTCTGTTTGCTCATCTCCAACTGACATGATCACTGCACTTCTAGGAAGAGCCAGGACAAGCACATAATATGCTCATGTCATTATGAGGAGAGAAGGGGGAACTGGAAGCAGAATTACCTTTTTAATCAACCCTGAGTTCTCAGCTAAAGTATCATGTGGCTGAAAGGGACCAGAATTTTGGAGTCAGGGAAAGGTTCCTTAATTTCCTGCCCTGGATTTTCATATGTATTAGCAATTATGGATTTCTTCATATTCCAATATTCCCATTGGTTATTTCACCTGCAAAGTTCAATTATAAGCCACTTGCAATTAAGAAAGAACATCTGTCCCGAAATTATACTCTTCCTTCGCCCTCTTATTTTTGTTTTTTAAAAGCCTTTTCTAATATTTTTCAGACCAACGGGAATTTCAGGAAACAACGAGGCCTACAACATAGGAATGGTGTCAAGTCATGGGCTGGAACCATCCCACACAGATACATTTAGCAGTATATCAAGAGAAGGGACTTTAATGATAAGGGAGGTAAGTGGGCGGCAGCTATTTTCTGTCTCACATCTTTGAGAGGTTTTGTCTTTGTAAGTCATGAATAATAATTACTCTGTGTGTTCTGAGCATACAGTGATTGATTAAACTATGCCTGTTAGTGGCTGATTAATATAATTATAACATCTATACAAAAGCGGTTTCTTCAAATTGCAAACAGCAGTGAACACAGTAGGACACAACAAGGTTGTTTCTGGCTATGCACACCCTTCAACTCTGGCTTAAAACAAGGTGTCTCCTAAACTGAAATTGCTGCAAAAAATGTTAGAAATTATACTGAAACTGAAACCATACATTTCAGCTTTAATTTCATTCTTGGCCATTTGCTGAAGATTCTCAGTTGTACAGCACATCCACCCTTGAGGTTACCAGTGTAACCAAAACGGTCCTCCTCCCCTAAGAGGTGGACAGCTGGATTATCAGCCAAATCTTAAAGTCAGCACTCCTGGTTGCATCTATATGGGTTGCCATTTTGAACAAAAGATCTAGAAACACCCCTAAGCTGCAGACACAGTCTTCCAGGGGGGGTGTAACCCCATCCAGGACTGGTTGACACATACCCGCCTAGCCCCAAGTTAAATGCTAATAGAGAGTATCATTATCTTGTCTGGATTCAGTTTCACTTTGCTTTTCCTCCTCCAGCCCATTATCTCATCTAGACATTGTGTACTTTTTGAAGGCATGGAAAATTGTATTTGGGTATTATTGGGATACCATTAGCACCCTGTGCCATGCCTCCCAATGATCTCTCCCAGCAGCTTCAAGTAGATGCTGAATAGCGTTCAGGATAAAATGATACCTTCTGGTATGTCATAAAACAGTTCTTTTTTTTCTTTTTTTTTTTGAGGAGCAGATATCCGCATTCACCACCATCTGGAACCTACTTTAGAGATAGGACCAGAACTATTGGAGCTTCTGATTTCCAAACTCCAGAGGCATTGTAAAAGGAAACCATAATCAATGGTATTGAATTGTGCCGAAAGATCCAAAAGCACTCTCCCTGTTGATGATTAAGTGTAAATCAGCCATGAAGGTGACAATAACTTGGTATCCTGCTCTAAAGCTGGTTTGAAATTGGTGTAGAAAACCTATATCATCTAAGGCTCCCTTCTATACCGCCCTATATCCCAGGATCTAATCTCAGATTATCTTCTTATCCCATATTATATGGCAGTGGGGACTCATCTAATCCAGTTCAAACCAGATAATCTGGGATCAGATCCTGGGATATAGGACACTGTAGATCTAGCCCAAAACTGCCTAAAGTTGAGAGGCATCTGCCGTCTCAATCACTTTACTGTTAAAAAGAAACATTCAGTGCTGGTCTATAAGTGTTAAAGTCCAGAAGATCCAGGAAGTTTTTTCTCTATCACTTCTTTTAAACAAAATTGAAAACTTCCCTCCCTCGTAGATGCAGTAATAATATGTTATGGCTGAGATCTCACTGCTTTTTCTTCCTGGAGAACCATCCAAAGACAGGGATCGAGGGGACAAGTTGTCCTCATAACTCATTCTAGTAGTTTATCCACATCTGTGAAACTTACCAACTGAAACTGATCCAGTGTAATCCTACTCACTGAGTTGTTGGACACCCCATTGCCAGCTTACGCTCAGATGATGGTATTTAAGTCATCTCTTATCCAAGAATCTGTGAAATTATTGTTAAAGACATTACAGTGAACTGCAGAAGGTTCCAAAATCGCTTTTAGGGAAAAGATGCTTGAGTTAGACCCCTTACCATCCTGAGTAGTTCAGCTGGATATGAATTTGCATGTGCAATGGGTACAGATAAAAAGGCTTTCTTTGCTGCATGTATTGCTACCTTTTAGGAACAAAATGTTCTCTATATTGTTACTTGTCAGATATAACTTTTCCTCCATCTTAATTCTAGTCATCGTTCTTCCCATTTCAGCTGCTTAAGATCTTCTCTATACCAAGAAGCTTGATTAGTGAGATTTCAGAGAGGATGTTTGTGCTCATCGCCATAATCAGGTCTTGGTTTCATCCACTCACCAGGGCTTGGCAGAATTGTTGATGATATTAGCCAGAAAGCCCTCTTTCTGGAATGTTGAAGGATCCATTAACCTTCAAGGATGGACCATCTTAATAGTCCACCAACATATAGGGACGGATAGTACCTGTGACTGTAGCAAAAAGAGGAAAATAGAAAGGGATAATAGTTGTGTTTGTAAAAATCGTGTGCAAAAGTACATTTGTGCCTTGTTAGTTTACCCCTTACTTCTTAAGGAGTCTGAACATGATTATAAATTTGATAGATCTTGTGGAACATGCTGTGATGAGTACCATAGAAGACATTTGTGCCTCATTTTTGATGTTGTTGTTTTTAATAAATTATTCTTTGCCACTTGAATAAATTGAGAGTTTCAAGAACTGTGGCAGATGCTACTTACACAGCCTGAGGTAATCTCTTTCAGGTACATTACTCTTCTTTGGCCTTCTCTTAATAAGTGACACATTAGACATAGACAGCAGGTTGCTGCAGCTGTAATGTGTTGCTGACAATTTCTGTCAGCCTTGTAATTCAGGGAGGGGGGGGGAACCTCCAACATCAGCGGTGACTTTTTGCAACTGAGATAAGTCCATCTGTTTTGTTGTTTGCCAGCAGAGACAAGAAGGGAGAACAAAGTGAGGTTGATTTTGCTTGATTATGTTGCGTTTCCCAGTTGCAAATGGAAGAGATTTTTCTGCTCTCTGCAGAGACACATAACCCTCATTGACGCTAATGTGAGCTTTCCATGCCTGTCAAGACAAAAAGAGATCTATTAATCCACACAGGGGGAAAAACCAAGGCTGTTCTCTGCTGACTTGAATCACATAAATTTAATATAGTAAATTTGAAAAGGACACAATGTAGAAAAGTGGCTGCCAGCTTTGGTAAGGTCAAGGTTCTACAAATTGAGCGTTTCCCATTCTACTTCTTGAAGGCTGAGTCAGATGTGAAAAATCTGTGTTTTTTTCTTCAGAAGAACAGTTAGCATAGAGAAAATGGTGGAGAGCTCCTCTAGTCACCACCTGGATAGGGACACATCCTGAATACCATCAGAGATAGAAGGACAGTTATTACAAGAATGATAATCTGTGTAACATTTTAATATTTATCCTGGAGCAATCACATATATATTGTCAACCCCCCCCCCAACACATTTCAGCTTCCACTAAGGCTTAGTAAGGGCATTGAACCAGCAGTTCTGCATACTTGCAGCGCCAAATTGGTCCTATGCATGCATATAATCAATACAATGTTAGTACCACATGTTCATAGAATCATAGAATCATAGAATCTAAGAGTTGGAAGAGACCTCATGGGCCATCCAGTCCAACCCCCTGCCAAGAAGCAGGAGTGGCCCAATGTTCAGCCATTGGGCCAATCAGACTGAAAGCATACTGTGTGCCTTTGAGTTCCCCTACACTTTCTCCTTTCATATGCTGGTTTAAGTTATTGTATCTTGGTTCCTCTGACCCACAGTTTCCTGTTGGGACACAAAAACATAATATGGAGCAATGGTTTGGCATCCAAGATCAAACTAGTTTTCCCATAACAGATATAACAGGTAGCAGTTCTGAAGAAACCATAATATAGATACTGGATAGATCCTCTAGTGTGATGAAGTCCTAAGTGCAGCTATTCCACAATAAATGTTATACCCTGGCTGCATGAATTTTTAAAAATATAGTGATAGTTTTCAGAGAAGTAGCTGTGTTCGTCTCTTGCATAATAAAAAAGAAAAGATGAGGGCAGGGAAGGGAAGGAATGTGGCACCACCTTTAAGACTTTTTAAAAAATCATGAACTTATAATGAATATAAACCCTCTTCAGATGTAGTAAAAAGTAAACTAAATGCTCAGGTATATTTACACAGTTGTGGAAGTGGAATGGAAAATTATTTCAACTAAGGAAGGTTGAAATGTTCTGCAGCTAGTTTTTGTGTATTGCCATTTCCCATATCAGATTTGTGTCCATCAATCCTCTTGCATAGAGGCTGTCCTGTTCATTTAATTTAGAATGCAGAGGGGCATGACTGGCATAAGGTTAGCATATATCACATTGAAGGAAGACCAAGTAAAGGTACCTCTGATGTTGTGAGTAATGTTCCTGACCCTTCAATATTGCTCCCACAATAAACGTGGGAGGTCCAATGCAAAGCATTAAGGGGCATTGCTTAGAGCAATGGTTCTCAACTTTTGGGTCCCCAAGTGTTTTGATCTACAACTCTGAGAAATCCCAGCCATTTTACCAGCTGTTAGGATTTCTGGGAGTTGAACACCAACATTTCTGGGAACCCACAAGTTGAGAACCACTGTCTTAGAGGCAGACCTTTCTGAGCCCCCAGATAACTTCCAAACCTTAGGCAACTACTCACTTATAGCTGGATATATGGATCGCAATATAAAACCCTGCAACAAACCTGTATGACAACTCTGTCCACTCAAGGTTCCAGAATATACCATTGGTATCTCTTTGCTATGATAGTCAATCCTCTAGGAGGTCCATGTGTTGCAAGAGACATTTTGCTATGAAGTTTCTGATTCTGGTATGAAACTTATGCTGATTCAGCTGTGCCTATGACTTCTATACCACTTCTATGCCACATTCAATAGCATTCACAGTCAATTTACCTAAGCAGAGAAGGGTGCCAAGTGGTTTTTTTAGTCTCAGGATCTTGAAAATGATAATGACAACACGGTTGGTTTGTTTGTTTGTTTAAAATATGTATCTATTGCCTCTTAGCCCATGAGGATTCCCAAGGAGTTTTATAACTCTTGCAAGCATTCAAAGAAGACAAAAGCAATTTCATAAAACATAGTTTTATAGCAACAATTAAATAACTGCAGCAAGCACCCTTGGTTTTTAATGTCCAAATGCCATGCAAAATGAACAGCCTTAGTTTATTTAAGTGTTGGTTTATTTCATTTCATTTATATCTTGCCTTTTTCTCAGTATGGACCCAAGGTAGCTAGCTGTGTGTCAAAAACTCCAGAGGAATTTAATCTGTTTGATTTCTCTTTGGAGGCTGTTTCATTGTTGGGATGCTGGTACAGAAAAAGCCCTAGCACATGGACCTGCCAGCCTAGCCTAGTAGGACAATGACTTAACATGGCCCCCAATTTGTCTTCATCATGTTCAGTTTGCATGTTGGGAAGATGGCCCATTCAGCTGATTGTGTTCATGTGTATACAATATTGATATGCAGATCAATATGGTTTGCTCATGGGTTTTTGATTCTCCTCTTTTCTTTATAATTGGCAGACATCGAGTGACAAAAAGCGCTCTGGCCACACTGCCAGCAATGGCTTTGCTGGCCACGTCAACCTCCCAGATTTGGTACAACAGAGCCACTCTCCTGCAGGCACACCGACCGAGGGCCTTGGGCGCGTCTCCTCCCACGGACAAGAGATGGACTCTGTGGGCGAAGTAGGTACCAGGGGTCTTCTTGGTTCAATGTTTATCTACCTTTACATTCGCTTTACATTCCTAGAATTATTAATTTCCTGCTAAATAATAATAATAATAATAATAATAATGTCTCACAGTCCTAGACACTTGGGAAGTGTCTGACAAGTGATCCAATACAACAACCAGCAGAGTGATTTTGTCTGCTGTGGACTCATCTTGTTGTGTTTCTAATAATAATAATAACACCAACAACTTTACTTTTACTCCCCAAAGGGCGGCTTGCATAGGGACAATCCCAAAAATTACAGATAAAAACAGAAACACAATAAAATCAATCAGATAAGATATAAAATAAAACAAACACAATCAAAAAAACATCATAAAAAAGTATGGCTGAGATAAAGGGCATGAGTTCAGGCTCAATAAGGACATTAATTCCTGACAGGAGCTCATGGAAGGTGCCAAGATTGAAAGAAACAGGGGCTGGGAAACTATTTCCAAAAGTGTCGAGGTCGCTGATAAGAGGTCCAAAATAAAGTGCAGAGCTTAAAGTAGGGACAGGATAGTTTTCTGGTGAACTGCCTAATCAAAGGTACAGAGAGCCATTTTGGTGGCATTTGCCTTTCTCCTTTGCAGTCTGTTATGATTATAAACAAACCTGTTCATACAATAATCCGTTTGCTTTTCAAAGCAGTGGTGAAGAAGAAAGATCCTTTGAGGTATAAACTTCTCCACAAACCTCTCTAGAAGCAAATCAAGAAAAGAACCTGTTATTGTTTTGTCTTCATTTTGTTCTCCTTCTCCACAACCGCTGATAATATTACATTTGGGATAAAGATTAGAAGAGCTGTTGGAAATGAAATGTAACAGCATTAAGTTGTATTATAACTGGAAACAAAAGGAATTTTTTTGTTTCAAAATTCAGTCACCATAACTCACATCAATGTATAATTGCAAGGTTGTCAGGGATGTAGAATCCCACTCTCTGAGCATCTCAGCTATTTAGGGAGAAGGATATTGTGTTTTGAGAGAGCAGATTTCTTATGTTTGTGGTGAAGTTATTTCCCAGATATTCAATGAGAAAGGTGAATAAAACTTATTAACCTTTTTGAAGCCCATGGGCTGATTTCAATTTCAGGGACTCGCAGCTCCTGCCCATTTGCAGAATAAATCAGTAAAGTAAAGAAAAACTGTTTAAATTTGCCTAATTTATTTATAGATTATAACGTAGCCATTCAGTTGTTGTGTCACAAGGCCTTAGAAGCCGGCACATCCAATTCTTAACAAAATCTCAGGAGGCCTAAATATTCTGCTAAATATTTGCTCCTGAACTCATTAGTTTAATCCTTTTCTTTCTCTGTTAAGATAGTGCTGACGTTTTCTGAAAAACCCAAGTGGCAGACTCAGAATACTGTAGGCTTATGCATACCTTAAAGAGAAGCAAACGGCTTTCATGAGGCTGGTTATCTCCTTACAGCCGGCAGGCTAGGCAATTATCCAGCATGACAGCTGCCCAACTTGGGCTTTGGCTTTCAACCCAAATCACAGACTTGGTTCCAGGCCACAGTGGCTTTTGAAATAAATCCCAGGAAGGCATAAAATAACAATGATGGAAGGTAAAGGTTGTTTTTTTTCCTGGTATTACTTTCTGTTATGACAGTCTCCAATAGAGGTAATAAATATAACATGTTCTGGGTAAATAGCATGGCCAAAAAAACCAGTGGTTCATCTTTTCCTATGGATGAAATCCTGACCCTATAATTATCAAGAACAATTTACAATTGCTTTCCTTTAGAAGAAAACCTCAACTAGAGACCTCATCACACTAGAGAAAGAAACCACTTTAAATCCGGTTTCTGCCTTCTGCAGAATGCTGGGGTTTGTAGTTTAGGAAGGAGCCTTTAACAGCCTCACTAAACCACAAACCCCAGAATTCTGCCACAGACAGAAACCGGATTTAAAATGGATTCATTCTCTAGTGTAATGAAGTAGTAAATCCAGTTGCTATTCCCAACTAGAATACAACCTGAAAGATAATTATTTAAATCCCATTGAGTCCATGGTTTTATCCCAGTTAGAACGAACAATGAGATTTCTATCATTATTGTTACTTTTGGACACTAAAAGAGGAATAATATCCAAACACACACAAATATAATTAAAATATTAGAAATTCAAGTATCACTGATTTCTTATTATCTTTCCTTGAACTTCAGTTTTGCCATACTTAGTAATGAGGATATGCAAACTAATCTTGTTTTGAATATTACCTATTTAGCAATCTGGTTAATCATTTATGGTAATTTGGTAGTCACAATATAGGTTTTAGATACTTTAAACACCCCTAAAGCAGTAGAGTTGGGATATAAAGTATAAAATGCAATATTTCTTGCTTCCAGGAAGTAATTTATGCAGAGCAAGACCAGCTTGTGAACTTGGATGTTTGTATGAAGCTATACATCCAGATATACATTACAGGAGTCACTCTGATAATTTTTTAAGCAAAATTCTATTGACTTTCCATTTTGATAGCTAGTGTTTGTCCTTCTTAAATGTGTAAAGATCTTGTTCATTTGTGTATGTCCCCTACTCCTCAAAAACAGATATATAGCTATGTATTGGAATGCTAAAAAAATTGGAGTTGTCAACATATAATCAGTGTGACCCATTTTGGACATTCACCATTACATATGTGATTTGTGCAGTACATTTGTCTATTAAAGTTCATTCTATTTGCTGAAATTACCCTAAATTTTTTCCCAGTGGAGTGAATAAAAATGAGGAATTAAAAGCACAGCACATTAATTTGACCATGACCTCACCCAGGGTTCAGTCTGAGCACTTGTGAAGTGGAATATCATCAGTGGATTTCTATTGATATTTCCTTCTGATATAGAGCAGTCGCTTTCCAGACCATCCTGTTCCTGTTCGTCAAGGCCATGCAGGCAATATGGAAACAAACCGGTTTATGTTGAAGGTTGGTCCCCAGCAAGTGAGAATGATGGATCCAATACTGAATCAATCATTCTTCTAGTCATAGTGAGCTATAAGATTCATTAATTAATTAAAGCTAAGGTTTTTTGGTGTCACAGATTAGGTCTTGGAAAAGATATAGTCTTGGATCAAGAGTCAAGAATCCTCCAGGGCAGTGGTTCTCAACCTGGGGTCCCCAGATGTTTTTGGCCTTCAACTCCCAGAAATCCTAACAGCTTGTAAACTGGATGGGATTTCTGGGAGTTGTAGGCCAAAAACATCTGGGGACCCCAGGTTGAGAACCACTGCTCCAGGGGATTAGTTGTTTCTGGAAATTGTCATCCAAGAACATTACTTTTCCAAGTTCTTCCTAATTCACAAGCTGATATAGTGGCATCCTTTTTATCATGCCATAAATAAAGACTGGTTCCCAAGAATCAGAAGACCAGGTCACTATCCTGGTTACAAAAAAAAAAATCAAAGGAAAAAAAAAGAAAGAAGCATGGGGAGGTACCAAACACACATTGGAGAGCAGAAAACAGTTGTACAGAAGTATGCTTATTGAAGCCAATACATTTCAGATACAGATACCTCAAGTGTCCGCTTTGACACAAACAAAATTATTTTTTAGCCTCCAACTCCTGGAAAAGCACACTGGGCCTCATAAATTGATTTCTGTGAGTCTATGCCAAAGATGTACTGACTGCACATGGATGTTTACATAATTGGATGTTTCTCTGTACACTAGAAAATCCATGTAAATCCATTGAAAGTTAGAGTGTCAAAAAGAAGAGTTCAGCTTTTGCCTTCTCCCACGTAACCATGTAACATGCTTTTATGTTAAGCTGCTTTGAGTCTCCTGCAGGAGAGACAAAGTAGGGTACAAATAAATATAATAATAAAAAAACAACAACAACACCCTTCTCAGTCTTCTCCAAACTGCACACACGCACCTCCCAGATGTATTTCTTGTGGGGCCTGTTTTCCAAATGTTTGACCATCTTGGTCATCTTCATCTGGATGCTTCCCAGCTCTTCAGTATCCTTCCTAAACTGTTGTACTCGGAATTGGACACAGTATTTTGAGTGAGGCCTATCCAAAGTAAAATAGAGCACTACGAATACTTCCCTCAGTCCAAACACAGTGCTCCTATTGATGTAGCTTAGAACTGCATTCAGGGTTTGGGGCGGTTATTTTGCACTGTTGATTCAGGTTTAGCTTGTGACCTATTGAAATTCCTAGATTATTTCTCATACTGCCTTCAAGTCAGGTGTCACCCATTTTCTATCTGTGCATTTCATTTTTCCTGCCTAAAAGTAGCATCCAGTATTTATCCCTGTTGAAACCCGTTTTGTTAGTTTTGGCCCATCTCTCCAATATGTTAAACATTATTTGGAATTCTGCTTCTATGCTTAACCTCATTTGGAAGATTAGAGTCTCTGCTTCCACACATCTAAGGTGCCACCAAAGCAGCAATGCCAGTTAAGAATCAAGGAGGATGGAGGCTGAAGTCTCTTTTCCACCTAGAGACTCTATGGTGGCCATATCACTGGGGCAAGGACAAATTAAAGCTCTCTGCTACCACAGATGTCCTGAGTTTCTTCCTCCCCTATTGGTGTACACATATGTGCAGAAGGTGTTCAACTTTTGGGGCCAAAAGGACTGTGCATCCTGTATTAAAACTGTTCGTTGTTGGAACAAGGATTTGTTCAATACTATTTTGACTGTATTTCAGAACATTTCAATTGTAAAGCCCGGGGGAAACATCTCTGCTTTTGTCATTGTCTTTATATATTTCAAAAGTGTAGAAATCAATTGATTCAGAGTCATGTTGGAGAAGGGGGTTTGGGGTTGGTTGGTTGGTTTTGTGTGTGTGTAGCAGATGGTATTGTGTCAGACCAATGACTCTTCTAGACTTTTTTTGTCCAGCTGGTTCTGACAGCGGCTCTGGCTTGCAACTCCTCGGGGTTTCAGAGACTAGGTTGGCCTGGCTCACACATACATGTGATGTCATTTGCTTTCTCATCACTTGATGAAACCCAACTGAAAGGATGAAAAGATCACATCGAAATAGTATTATTAATTAGATTTTTCACATCCTTAGCTTCCAGAATAGCACTCAAAATGACATCACTTGATAATAAAGGATTGGTATTTGAAATTATGTCCTACATATTTCATCTTCAGTGGCTCATTTTTACATGCAAATCATTTTATTCTGAAATCATGAAGTGATATACATCAGCAATAGACAGAAGTCACTGTTTGTTTCTTGTATTTATTCTTTTATTTATATCCTAACTTTCCTGCACTAAATACAAGCTTAGATGTCTCTTGCCTCCAGTTTATCCTCACAACAATCCTGTCAAACAGACAAGGCCCAGGTTAATTTGGTAACATTCATGGCTCAATGTAGACTAGAACTTGGAACTCTCAAGTTCAGGTTCAACATCTAACCATGTGAGCTTCTGGTCATTTCTGGTCTCCACAAAGTGGAGTCCACGACATGCATGTGTGAAGAGCAAAGCACGGACCACCTATTACAATGCAGTCTGAGCCCTACCACATGCCCAATTGAGGACTTTCTTATAGGAACACCAGAGGCACTTCAAGTGGCCAGCTACTGGTCAAAGAATATTTAATATAATGCCAAGTGTTAAAACTTTGTGTCTTTTTAAATACATTATAACTGTACCCTCAGTTCACTTCTGATGCAATAAATAAAAAAACCATGTGAGCACATTCTTTCTCTCTACACCAAGCATGGGCAAACTTGGGCACTTTTGAGTATTTTGGACTTCAACTTCCAAAAATCCTATCCAGCTTACCAGCTTTTAGGAATTGTGGGAGTTGATGTTCAAAACACCTGGAGGGCCAAAGTTTGCCCATGGCTGCTCTACACCATAGTGACACTGCCTCTTCCCATGCAGCCTAATTGTTCAGCTGGGCTGCAGCGGAAAATGGCTGACATCTCACCAGTTTGAGAGACTGCACAGAAAGTAGCTCAGGGCCACAGGTTGTGCACTCTCCAGGTACACAAATGTATGAACTGATATGCATATAGAAACTCTCCAGGCAGGGATACCTCAAGAAAAAGTTCAAAGAAGTGGACATTGATTCTCTACTGTACACGTGGCACATACTGTGTTGTGAAGCACAAGCCTCACACTCACAACATGTGATCTAGTATAAAGACAAAACAATATTACCTTTCTCTGACTGCATCATCTCTGTATTTCTCATTTTTAGTATGGTATGGGAAGTAGCACAAAAGCATCTTTCACTCCTTTTGTGGATACCAGAGTATTTCAGACATCTCCTACAGATGAAGATGAAGATGATGATGAGGAGTCAGCTGCTACAGGTAAGAGAGGAAGTAATAACAATAAGAAAATACTTTAAAGACATCACACTTAGGGGGGAATATGAATATCCTGTACATGTTTGCAACCAGCTAGTTGTAATCTGGCTTTTGTTATACCATGGCAAAAAAATAACTTTTACAAAGTTCAACTGAGTATGCTGGAAACTGCAGCCCCTCTCATGTTCACAGCTTATACATATGACCAGCATGTTGTGGGCCATATTTTATCATGCACATAATTTTCTTGTGGCAGTTATGCAAGTCAAAGCACTCCTTTATATAGACTTTAAGTATGCTTAAGCGGATACTTCACATTTTCCTTTCCAGCATTGTTTACCAGTGAGCTACTGAGGCAAGAACAGGCTAAGCTGAATGAAGCAAGAAAAATTTCTGTAGTAAATGTGAACCCCACCAACATTCGTCCTCATAGTGACACGCCAGAGATCCGAAAGTACAAGAAGCGCTTCAATTCAGAAATCCTCTGTGCAGCTCTTTGGGGTATTTCTTATTTATATTTGTCAGCAACAGAAATGACATCTCTGTGTTAAGAAAAGGGTCATGGTTACATTCAAAAGACTCAAATATAGTGAGACTATGAATAAATTATTGGGATTGAATGTTTCCTTTGACAGGAAGCTAAACACTGTTTTTGGTAATATGCTATTAGTTTTCTTCTTCATTTCAAACATTAGCAGACAGTGCCTCATCTGATAAGAACTGTTGATATATAAGCATGTTAAGTATTATTCTTGCTGAAATATGTACCAAAATATATGAACAAATTTGATATTTTAGTCAGATAGAGTGTTTCTTAATGGACTGCAAACTTAATTTGTGATTCCTTTCCATAATTACGATTTCACCAGGCTTCTCTGCTTGTTGCACAGGTGTAAACTTATTGGTGGGAACAGAAAATGGACTAATGCTGTTGGATCGGAGTGGCCAAGGAAAGGTGTATAATCTGATCAACAGGAGACGGTTTCAGCAAATGGACGTGTTGGAAGGACTCAATGTCCTTGTTACTATCTCAGGTACAACTAAGAACTGCTTCAGTGTTTCTACTTTGCTCCAGGTTTCTGACTGCCCAATTTTGTAGTTCTTCCTCCAGCAAAAGCCCAAAATCATTTTGCATTTAATAAGAAATCAGTGGAGAAGGAACTCTGTTCCCAAAAGGGCATCTAAAGTCCAAGACATTTTTCTTGAATTGGGACTGTTCATGGTATTAAAGCAGCGAAATAAGAGAAGATGCATGGGATTCCTTTTCCATCGTCATAGCACGTGAGGAATTTATGCCCGTCAAAATACAACTGGATTGTAACTCCCAACAGCCATAACTAGCATGGGCCACACAGCTTCATTGAGTGCTAGTTCAAAGTATCTTAGGGGGTTTCCCAACTGAAAACTTTTAATATATTACTAAAACACTCTAAACATCCTGATTTCATGCTGGCTTAAGTCAACTAAGTGTATATTCTTTTTCATGCTGCTATTTTATTGTATATGCTCCCCTGAGTTTCCATACAGTACAGATTTCATTCATTTTAATATAGCATGCACCCATTTGTTTCATTCTTTAGAGTTATTCACTGCTTTAGTACCATCAGCAGTCCCGTTCTTTCTTCTGAATGATCCTAATTTCATGCAGCCTTCAATAACAGTTAAAGGACATGCGAGAAACATTTTATTATATGGGAAGACTTACAGGAGCATACGTAGAAATAAGATCCACTCATGGCTTTTGTTTGGCAATGAGATTAACAATCTAATCAGCATACCTTACCTTTAAAAAGTTGTGGAACAGGCAAGGTATTATGACACCCTATGAGGCTATGTTTGTGTCCAATGACAGATTAACTCTTTATTGGTTAAAAATGAAGTTCCATGTTTCAACAGGAAAGAAGAACAAACTACGAGTTTATTATCTTTCATGGTTAAGGAACAGAATATTACACAATGACCCAGAGGTAGAAAAGAAGCAAGGCTGGATCACTGTTGGAGATTTGGAAGGCTGCATACATTATAAAGTTGGTAAGTGCAAGACTAAGCTGTTACCATAGGGAGATATGCTCTTGGGTTTTGGGCATTCAGGTTCATGAAAGTATTGTGCCTAGAATTCAGAAGCTGATAGGGAACTAGTAGAGTCATTATTGGTGTCACATTCAAAAACAATGGTCATTGCATACAATCCTTGTTAGCACTTTTCAAATGACAATTTCCTTATCATGCTAAATTAGCCATTAAAGAAATCTGGATGAGTTCTAAGCTTTACTTTCTAGGATAAGCAGCATAATCTCTGTTCAGACATAATTAAAACTCTAAAGTCTTTAGGCAGTTAGGGACTCAGGTGTGCATGGTGAGAGCTATTGTGTCCTGGACTTGCCTGATGACATCAGGACATGGTTCTGATCACACACACACCCTGCTGATTTAAAAGAGAATTATTGCAAAGGCTTTGATTTGTCTTGCATTGCCTTGTGTTTCATTGTGATGTTTCAATACACAGATGAGAGATGGGGCAGGAATGGGGTCCTTGGATTAGATCCAAGCTCCCTACCACTCCTAAACAGAAATTCAATCATGGTTGATTGTCTCCAGGTGATAGCAGTGGATTTGATCCAGATTGTCATGCTCAGTGAGATCTTTGGGACTTAAATAAATCCTGACCAGTACCCCAGTGTTCTGATTTCAGTCCATCTACTATAAGTGTAGATCCAGCTCATTGGATTTGGTTGATTTATTAAGTATTTCTAGGGTGCCTTTCCAAACAAACCCCTCTCAGATTCAGAAGTTATCTCTCTTATAGTACTATATAGTTTGTATTAATTTATTTGGCCTAAATCAGTTCATCCCAAAGAACCTTAACCAGGCAGAAAACTACAAGTCTAAACAAGTAGTGATGAAAAGGGTTTTTTTTGTCCAATGACATATATTTATAAAATTATATGAGATCCCAAGATAATGATGAACAGCTTGTGGTCCTGTAGACATTGTTGGATTGCCACTCTTATTTTCTCACACCATTTATTTCATGCTGATGAGCCAAAAGAGATACAATAGAGCAGTGGTTCTCAGCCTGGAGTCCCCAGATGTTTTTGGCCTACAACCAGAAATCCCAGCCAGTTTACCAGTTGTTAGGATTTCTGGGAGTTGAAGGCCAAAAACATCTGGGGACCCCAGGTTGAGAACCACTGCAATAGAGGTAACCAAACCGTAGGCTTCTTCCAATCTTCTAGTTCTTTGATTCTATTAATTATTATTCGAACAGACATACCTCTGTTAACAAAGACTACAAAGAAGAAATATCTTTTTATGGTCTTTTTGTGCCAGCCTAGCCTTCCTTACCATCTTGTTCTCAGCATCAACATGGTGAGGCTGGTGAAGGGAGGCTGGAGAAATGTAAACTCTTGGTGTTGGGTTGCAGTGTGATCACTAGTACATGGCTATAAATGAGCACAATGAAGCTTGAGTGGGAAAACAGCAAGATTGTACTCTAGCCAATTTAACTGCAACATCTTCTGTTTAGCAGATTCTGATGCATTTTCCACCTAGCATGAGAATAGCTGAAGAAAAAAAATTATGTTTCAGAGTTCTTGCTTTAAAATAATATTTTAATCTCTTTATTAGGAGTTTGTTTATTAGGAGTTTGAGTCACTTGTGCATTATACATCTCAATTTGAATCATATGATGTCAGCTTACACACATGCTCTTTTTAGAATACCACTTGTGTTGATATCTTCTCAGATATCATCATGATTTTACATCTTGAATTTGTTACCATCTGGAATTAATTATGGATGGTCACATCTGGTTTATGTGAGACATGTACAAACAAAGCCAAGAGGACAGTCCTTTCCAGAGAGATCAGTGTCCAATGACATAAAAACGGTCAAATCAGTTCCGGACATTTGGCAAATATACCATCTGTTTTGGGTCTCTTCTTAACAATGTTTCTACTGACAACATGGTTTCATCAGCTTTTCCTTGAGATAAACTATTCACTTTTTCTGATTGAATTGGATGTTTTAAAAATTAGTTTTATTTCAATTTTAGTGAAATATGAGAGAATCAAGTTCTTGGTGATTGCCTTAAAGAGTGCTGTAGAGATATATGCTTGGGCTCCTAAACCATATCACAAGTTTATGGCATTTAAGGTATGTTTTGTGTTGTTACAAAAGATTTTAGTTTTCTTCATACATTTGTTGGTGGGGTGTTTTTAAAAATCATGGATAAGGAAATCTGTCATTCACTTCTGGTATCTGTAGCCTAAAGGGAAATTGGACCCATATTTTAAGAACCTTCTGCAGAATTGCTTCTTATTCCTAGTTTGGACCTACTAGATTTTTTTTTTGAAGAACATTGATAATAAATTCCCAGTTCAAATGGACCCCATACTGTGCAGTGATTCTCAACCTGTGGGTCCCCAGGTGTTATGGCCTACAACTCCCAGAAATCCCAACCAGTTTACCAGCTGTTAGGATTTCTTGGAGTTGAAGACCAAAACATCTGGTTTCCCACAGGTTGAGAACCACTGTTGTAGAGCCTGTCTGTAGCAGAAATATAATCATATTAATCAGAACCCAGAAAAAATATTTTTCACTAATGCTCAGTGGCAGGGGATTGTGGGAGTTGTCAAAATCTGTTAGTACATCGTGCCATCCAGATGTTCATTTTGCACACCTAAATTCCAGTAGACTGGAACTGTAAAGTCATGTCCTAGTTTTTATATAGTATTTTTTATAGAAAATAAATGTAAAATCTAAACACTAGTTACATCTGAGTTCTATGATGATGATGATGATGATGATGATGATGATGATGATGATGATGATGATAATGTCTGAAGGAAAATAAGGAATGCCACTCACAGATCCCCTCATACTTAGAGATTTAGCCAATCCCACCATTTTTTAAATCTTTTGTTGAAATGAAAAGCATGTGTATTAAATATACATATTAAAATATACTAGAGATGTTGAAAAGGCTAATTAATTAAGGGCTGGGATTTGAATGTAGGAGATTTTTAGCACTCATCTCAAATACGAGGTGGTTTCATTGAACAAAATAAGAAATTCTTTCCCTGCCTTTGTCACAGCCCCTAACACTTTTTCTTGCCTTCAAACCCCACTGACTAGTCAAGTCAATTGCAGATGCTGTGAAGGGCTTGCAACTATAAGGAGGAACAAAGAAAGTCTCACCCCAACTTTCTTCTCTGGCACATTGCAGAGCATAGCGGTCTACTATAAGAAACCAGCTTTTTACATTCTTTATCCACTCTCTAAATGTATTCAGATATCAATAGTAACCCAAACAGTGGTAGTGGGAGGAGGCATGTGTTTGAAAAGAAAATGAATCATATCCTTGTGTTGTTGCTACAGCATGCTAAAGATTTAGGGAGATTTGTTTTAAGCACTCAATTGACTGAAAGGATTTTAAAAGTCTTTTGCAGATCTCCAGCACAAGCCATTGCTTGTTGATCTCACAGTGGAGGAAGGCCAGAGGCTAAAGGTCATCTTTGGTTCACACACTGGTTTCCATGTCATTGATGTAGATTCGGGGAATTCGTATGATATCTACATACCATGTCATGTGAGTCTGAGACAACATAGTGATATTGTACAAATTAGATGATGTATTATGACATAGAATCTAAATAGAGTTTCACTTGACTGTCAACTGATGTAAATGTACTCCATTGAATTATGATTATCATTCAATCTACGCGCTTTTGAGTAGTTGTTCTAAATCAGTGGTTCCTAACCCATTGTCCATGGACCAGCAGTGGTCCACAAGAATGAAAATATGGTCCACTACACTGGTACTTCAAAACCATGCAGCAACGAGAATGACTGTTCTCATGAAATTCTCTTTGCCAAGGCAATGGAGATGATGGGAGATGAGAGGCTTACTACCCACAAAAGATTACTACTACCACATTGGCTCTAGATTATTAAATATGGTTTTTGTGGGCAAACAGATGGTGACTACTGAATGGCATATGTTCTGTATCAGAAACTAGAGCTGATGTGGTCTATCCTATGCAGTTTTCTGAATCAGCACCCCAAATAATCAAACAAATTCTAAAGTTGACCAAAAACCAATACATAACCTTTTGGTACTAATGTTGGAGAGTGATCCCCAGCCAAAGTGGTCCCTGGTCAAGTGGTCCCTGTTCAAAAAAAGGTTGGGAGCCACTGTTCTAAATCCTGTCAGCAAATGAAATTAATTTGTTCTGGACATGTACAGGATCTTTAAAGTTGTACCACACCTTTACAACACATTATACTACTTCCACTTGTAGCTTCTGAGAACAAAAAGGAGTTTTGCTTTACAATGAATTTACCTCTTTAGATGGTCACAAAAGTTGACTGTCCTATGAGCCTAACCATTGCAGGAATAGTTTTTAATACTGCTCCAGTTTTAAATTGGACTATGTGTTTTACTTTGCTTCTTTCATTCTTCACAGTATGTTTTTATGCATAAACTACATTAAGCCTGCTTTTGCAAATCAGCAGAATAAACAGTGGAAAGATACATTCAATTAAATCAAGGCATTAAAGATGGAAAATGCTACTCCTGTCAACCGGTTTCCATATATATCTATCTAAACATATGTTCCTCATGAGACATCACAGAGAGCTTGTTTTGAGCTCAATTTTCCAAGAGAGTTGGTCTTTCTTTCGTGCCATGTGAACTTGACTTAATCCTGGCTTGGGGGTTCTGTTCTGTATACAGATTCAGGGCAATATCACGCCTCATGCCATTGTCATCTTGCCCAAAACGGATGGAATGGAGATGCTTGTGTGCTATGAGGATGAAGGAGTGTACGTTAATACCTATGGACGCATAACAAAAGACGTGGTACTCCAGTGGGGAGAAATGCCGACTTCAGTTGGTATGTTGTCTCTTCCTCTTTACTTTAGGGCTTCATATATTTAGAGTGAGTGGGGTGGTAACATTGGCTTTTTCCTAGATAAACTGGTCTTCAGTGCACAGTAGCCTTCTGTCAGGTGCAACGTGTAATAAAACCTGCTTTGGTTTAGATGTTTTAGAGGAATTTTTGATCAATTTTTGTTTTGTTTTGTTTTTTCACAGCTTACATCCATTCTAATCAGATCATGGGCTGGGGTGAGAAAGCTATTGAGATACGATCAGTGGAAACAGGACATTTAGATGGAGTATTTATGCACAAGCGTGCCCAGCGATTAAAGTTTCTATGTGAAAGAAATGATAAGGTAGGTTTTCTTCCAGGATTGTACAGTTGTATAGTGATTTCTTAAAGACTGGCACCTACGAGTTGAGTATCACTTATCTGAAATTGGGACCAGAAATGTATCAGATTTGGGGGGTTTGAATACTTGCATATACCCAAAGAGCTATTATTTATGTTTCATATACACTTTATAAATATAGATAATTTTATAGACAGCATTTTCAATAATTCTTTGCATAAACAAAGTTTGTGTACATTGATCCATCAGAAAGCAAAGATATCACCATCTCAGCCACCTATATAAATAATTTCAGATTCTTCATATCAGCTCAGTGGTAAAACCAAGGGTTGGGTTTTGGTCAGTGCAAATTGTGGAAGCGAATACCAACTTCTGCAAAGACCAATAAAGGCATAAGCAAATGTACGGGTGTGTCCATGTGTATGCCTGTGTGTACCATTAATGGGATACTAGTAAAACATCCAGGGCACATGCTCTACTAAATGCTGTTAAATGAGTAAAATCTTCCCAGAATTGGTTCAGCCTCTGTCATCAGAATCCCACTCAGAGGATGCCACAATGCTTCAAGAATATGATTGCAGACCCCAGTCTTGAAAAGTATCAAAAGAACAGGAAACCCTTAATTGTGAAGTGGTATTGTGAATTGAATTGAAAGGAACCTCGTAGATCCAACATTGAAGAACCTACAAAGTCTAGATGGAAGTCAACAATTTTATTTCATATATACATATTTTATTTATTTATTTATTTATTTATTTTCTCCTCTAGGGTGTTTCCCTTACCCTTACACCAACTTTTTTATTTTTCCTATTATTTTTCCTACTATTCTCCTATCTATCACCAAATGTTCTCCTACTTTCGATGAAAATACTCTATCTCCCTCTTAAACTTCTGAAACTCTATTAATAAAATATTTCAGAAAAAGAAAAACCTATTCTGAGGCTTTGAGATAAAAATGAGATTTTAAAAGTGACATGATAATTAAAGATAAGGAAAGGAAACAAATGATTCCAGGACAAATAAACTGTTTAATTAACCAGACTATTTCCTTCCCAAACAGGTATTTTTTGCATCAGTGAGATCTGGAGGAAGTAGCCAAGTTTTCTTCATGACCCTCAACAGAAATTCGATGATGAACTGGTAACAAAAGGGCACTTGGTGAATACTTGGATGCCGAGATTCTTTAATTTTAAAGGACATTGGAACATGTGGACTGACACTGTAGAGGCAGGCGAAGAAGACATTGTGGATCGCGTTGCTTCCTTCCGTGAACACACTCGCTTTCACGCAGACACGCTACAAGAATACAACACACCTATCCTATTGTGGTTTTGGAATGGAGGTTTACTCACGATCCCAAGAATGCTACAGTGTATTTGGGCAGAAAAAAGACAAATGCACACAAGGATTAGCTGAAGTAAATCTCTTTAAGGTTTTCAGATTAAGCTGTGATAGAGACGGTATGAGTTTAGTTTTTGGGGTTTCTTTTCATTCAGTTTATTTTTTCCTTGTCTCTGTGTCAATAGAGACAGATCTAAGTGTCAAACAGAATCTCCGTTTTAATTTTGTCTGCCTGCTAGCATCAAGTATATAGTATGTTACAAGGCAGGCTTCCTCAGCCTGGTGCCCAGCCTGGTGCAGGTTGTGTTTTCAGCACATCGGGGTGGCACCAGTTTGGGAAAGGCTGTTGTAAGATTACCATTTAAAACTGGTGAGAGACAGCACAATAAATGTACCATTTTATCTTTGTGTCAGAGGTCCTAACCATAGAAGTGGCTAACTTTTGTAAAATCTTTGCCTTTTACCAACATTGTGTTGTATTTTGCAAACAGGTTGACAAATTTCAAATGAGAGAATTGATGAGATTTCCTTTCATATTATTCTTGGAAATCTATTCTAAATGGCTAAACTACTAGCCTTAATCAATAATGCAATCATGGTACATTTTCTTTCCATTTTCGGTCAGTGTGACAGTTCATACTTCTGTATGGATCTTCATATAATGGTGCTCATTGAGAGAGGAACAGCAGTGCCATTCTAGTAACTGATTCCCAGTGTTGGCCTTAGTATTATCTTGCCTTTCTCTATGCTGTGATACAACAAGTATCTGTTGCAAACAAAGAAACAAACAAAGCAGACAAAGAAGTGGAGTCATAGCAAGATACTAAAAACTGGCTGGAGAGTGTTTGATGATTGAAGCATTTAACTCAGACACATCGAGTCTGGATCCTACCTACTCTGTATAGTTATACTTTACTTATTGGGGGAGGGATGCTCTTTGTCAGTCGTGGTGGATTGTTTGCCCTCCATTAAAGATCATCAGAGCCAACATCAGCGTGATTTCCAAAAGTGAAGTCCCAAATATTGACAGGCTTTCACCCACTTCCTTCTCTGTTGGTATCCTGTTCTGGATATGGAATGTCGTCATGAGATCTTCATCCGTTTGTGCAAGAACAGGAACGTAGCAGGAGTGAAAGGTAGCAGATTGGAAGGAGGAGGGCCTTCTTGGCCTTGACGACACTGTTTAGCTTCATTTTTCTGTCTCCCTCAACCACCACCAACCTTCTTCGCTGCCCCACCTGTATAGTGAACACCAATATGTGTGCAGAAGTATGTGTGTAATTACTTTGGGTTTACTTGTGTCCTTATAGGCTTTGTTCAAATTATTTACAGTTTTAAATAAGTTAAATATGTGCAACATTTCTACTATCTCCAAGCATGGATTTCCCCCACTAGTCTGTGGATGTAACATAATTGGACCAGTGTTGCTGTTTTTAACCTACCTCATTTTATTTTATTTTATTTTTGTTTCTATTAGCTTTTCCTCATTACCTCCAGTGAACACCCAGAGAGTTTGGCCAACTCTAAAGTATTTATTGAGAAGAATTAAGTAATCAGCAATGGCTAGACAGGTTGGGTCTCTTTGAGAATCATGAAAAGAAGGTCATTCTGCCTGCTTCCAGTTTTTCTTTTGGGTCTTACCTCTGTGTTTTCCATTGTATGGGCAAGTATACAACAGCTTGCTGCCACCGCACAGTAGCTAATGGGAGCAGTACTGCCTATAGATTTGAAAATGAATCAGAATCATACAGAGCCACTGATTGCACATACCATGGCCTTTGCATGGGAGCTGTCACAGTTTGCCCAATTGTGGGTGCCCTAAAAGCACTGTTGTCCATTACAACTGCACAAACTATCCCAATGGAGAATCATGGCCCAACAGCAGCCAATTAGGCTCTCACAGATACTCAGGGGCCAGCAGCTATGTGAATCAATTGGGTTTTTAAGAAAGAACACGTGTGGTTGATGAGGGAGCTGGCAGTACTCTCCTTAGCCACTTTTCTTCTTCATCTGCTTAACCAGAAAGGGGTCTATATTGGACACCCACCTCAAGCCCTACCTTGCTGCTTAATGCTATAGTAGTGGTGAGATGCAGGACCAGATTAACCTTCAGGCTAAGCATGCTCTGTGTTGCCTTCTATAGACCAGGCTTCTTTGAACTCTCACGCTGTTTGGTGGCCTTTCCCAGAATGTGGCAGGAAGAAACAGTGGCCATATTTTCCAGTAATGGAAAATGTTTCTCTTTTTTGCTTCAAGCCTTTGAAAACAATCTAAAAGTGGAGCTGTTAAGTCAAAGACTCCAAGCTCCCCGTTCCAACTCCAGATGGCTTGAATTCCTAGCAGGTAAAACTGTAGCATCTGTTCTCACCCTTCGTTTATGAAAGGATCATTAGGCTTTGGTTTTTTGAGTAACTGCCCTCTTAAGAACAAATGATTAACTTAGAATCTAAATATTGGCATCAGCTAACTGAACAAGTGTTAAATTGTGCATAATGAAAACATGTAAGTAACTTCAGAAACAGATTTTTACAAACATAACTATCCCCCTCAGCTCACACACTTAATACACAATTGTCAGCATCCTTTTTCCTGACTAAGGAATTAATGGCTGAATAACAAGTGGGCTCTATTCATAAATTAGGGTTCCCCAGCCAAACGGGCCAAAGGTGTAGACGGTCCTTATTGACCCCCGCTCATCCATATCCCTATGATCAAAATACTAACAACAGCAAGCCAAACACAACTTTTAAGTTACTGAGGCTGGTTTGATGTTCTCTTTCTTCCATAAGAAGAGGCAAGAAAGGCAACACATGTTTGGTGAATGATTGCCTACACCTCACCTTGCAACATATGTTTACCTAATTTTGTATGTAGTTGTCAGTGATGGTGACATTGCCGTAGGAGATGAAAAAAGAGGAAGTAAAGTCGGCTGCCAGCACTTTAATAATCACAATTCTGCCTATGCTGGGACAAAGCCAACATTCTCTCATGGAAAGCCAATGACAAGGATTATTGTAGATTACCCCAAAATGTGTTGTGCCTGATAACTCAGAGTGTTCCTTAGAATGGTGGATCCCCATGTCTTTGTTACTTACTCACCATGCATTTATTCGCACTTAATCAGTGGAGGATGCCTTTAGTACTGCTGCCCTGGCCAGCTCCACCTATCTGATTTCAACCTCTTCAGTAGAGGGTTGTTGTGTAGGTTTTTCGGGCTGTATGGCCATGTTCTAGAAGCATTCTCTCCTGACATTTTGCCTGCATCTGTGGCAAGCATCCTCAGAGCTTGTGAGGATGCTTGCCATAGAAGCAGGTGAAACGTCAGGAGAGAATGCTTCTAGAACATGGCCATACAGCCTGAAAAACCTACAACATCCCAGTGATTCCGGCCATGAAAGCCTACAACAATACATTGTTCAGTAGAGGTCCAAAGTTAGATGTCTTCTCTAGGCTCCTTGGTTCAATCAGTGCTCCTGATACATTCTAGCACAAGGTATGGCAGAATACAGAAGGAGCTGGGTATTTATTATTGCAAAATTGTGGAGGGGGGGAGCTAAGCCATCTGCCCACTATTGCAAAAAAGAGAAACAAACTACATGCACAGGCAGGATCTTTTTCTGGAGGAAATGTTATGCCCTTTCTATAGTTATTAAAGACAGTCTGGCCGAAGTTTTCATTCACATTTGAATCCAGAGCTGCTACTCAAGGATCAGAAGCATCTCGTGTCTTCCTAGGCCAAAGCGCTGGATGGTCGAGATCAATGTCACCGCTGCTGCTACTTTCAAGTGACTTAACCGAGATGCGAAAGTTCTGAATCCACTCTTGTTCACTGCCAACTTCCAGCAGTCCAAGCATTACTGGACATTTGAGACCAAGGATACATTTCAATGGAACTCTCCTTTGAGAACGTCTTAAGACACGCACATTTTTTAGTTTTCCTGTTCCGTCCTATTGCTATCATATCACAGGTATTTTCCATGCCAGATGAGCAATTAAAATGAAACACCTGGACAAAACAAAAAAAATCCCTCTTTTCAGAATTCACTTTTTTAAACCTACTGTCTCCTTAGCTGGTTTATGTTCTTGTTATAATCCTTGTGTTTCTTTCTACTGCTATATAACGAGAGGACCATATGAAGAAACAAATGTATATTCAGTACATCCAGTTGAGCAATAACATTTCCAACTCAGTTAAGCCACTACTTGTAACTGCTGGGGACTGGTTATGGGTAAGAGCAGCTTCATGGCAAAAGCCAACTGCCACCAGCTCTTTTATGTCTTTGCTGTGGTTACCTTTGAAACCGGAAGCTTCTTATTAAATTATGTTGAAAACTTGAATGGTGTATTCGTCTTCCTTCTGTGTCCTAAAATCCTAAGCATATTATACAGCCTGAAAACATTTTAAAACAGTTTTCTTAATTATTATTAACAATTGTTGACATAATATTTGTAAGATTTTTCTTTGGTCAGTTTGCAAAAGCTTGTGATCTGCAGATTCAGCTCACTCCTGCTATTACTTTACTTAGGAGATCCCTCATTGTCCGAGTTTGATGGCCTTCCAAGGGTAGGGTCCTGGCGGTGGATTCGTAGGTGACTGTAGAGCCCTATTCTTGACTAGAACTGTAGCTATTAGGCATGTGCAATCCATGGTTCTAAATGGTTCTAAAGTACTTACAAAACTAAAGTTCTGGTGGTGAAAACTAGGGGGCGCTGGTGCTTTGCTTCTACAGTGTTGCTAAAGTTCTGGTGGTGAAAATTTCAGAACTCTAACAAAACTTTCAAAATTTCATTATTATTTCATTATTGGTGATTTTTATGACAGAACCTATTAGGAACTGCCATTTATAATGAAATTTTGAAAGTTATGTTAGAGTTCTGAAAGTTTCACCACCAGAACTTTAGCAACACTGTAGAAGCAAAGCACCAGCACCCCCTAGTTTTCACCACCAGAACTTTAGTTTTGTAAGTACTTTAGAACCATGGATTGCACATGCCTAGTAGCTATAGGTGGCATTTGAATAAATATTCAGTTCCCCCAAAGAAATGTTCCTTCACTCCACAAATGCCTATTATTTGTGTAATTTATAAAGTTCAGATGCACATTTAAAAATACAGTTTAAGGAGTTCATTGAAAAGGGGGAGACAAAGTTACTTACAAAGGAATGGAAACAGAGAAAAGCCAAGAGTTCCAGGTGCGAATGATTTCCATTGTCTGCAAGGCTCACTGTTTCGGACTGCAATAAAAATTTCCTTTGGAAACAGATGAATTCTTATGGATGGCAATGCCCTCATTTTGCCCTTTCCCATAGCTGAACTCTTGTAATTCTCCCAGTGCTTCCTTTCCAGATTAATTTTTTGAAAGTGCAGCTCTTCGAATCCAACAGCCAACATGATAAATTGTAGCTTCTAAAAGTAACTTTTTTAAATAAGAAAATTATTAATAACACAGAATTGTTTTATAGTGTTTATTAAAGGGGGGAGAGAGAGAAGAGAAAAGGAAGAGGAAAAAAAGAAAAGAGAGAAAAAGAAAATAAATAAAAACACACACAAACAGAAAAAAATTTGCGTTATTTTGACTTCCATCTATTTCTTGGTGTGGCCTTCTCAAAAAACAAGTTCTTAAGTATAAAAAGAGAAATAATTTCCTTTTCTTCTTTGCTTCATAACTTCCCCTTTCTCTTTGCAAGTATAAAAGTAACTTTTCAGTGCTCCTTCCCTTTTCTTGGTTCCTTTTAAATGTCCCATTTTCTCTCTCTTTGGCCCCCATCTACACTGCCATATAATGTAGTTAGAATCTGCATTATATGGTCAGTGTAGATACATATAATTTTAACTGAGTTTTAATACCATTTATATTCTGTTTTAATGTTTGTATATTTGTAGATTTTAAACTATACCGAGAAGCTTTTAATGTAAGCCGCTTTGAGTCTTCTTGTTGGAGAGAAATAAACATCATAATAATGCCATTCAATGCAGTTAAACTGCATT